ACACACACACACACACACACACACACACACACACAGGAATAACAAATTAGAATTAATATGTAAATGAATCTTGAATATGTAAATGAACGCTGGGCGACGTGTGATCTCTTTTTCACACAGATACACATTTGAGTATTCACACATTCACACGGACACATATACACACACGCTCATATCCAGTCCTGTACATTGTGACTATTCTGTCTCTCATGGACAGAAGTGAGCCATCTGACTGCTGCTGCTCCTCAGGTCAACAACCTGGGGACTCTTTGTTTCTCATTAGACTTCAGGTGTGTGACCTGTGTGAACCTTATTCCACGACTTCTCCACAACCTTCCAAAATGTAGTTGCTGTGCTTTGGTCACTTAAGATTTTATGCGTCTGTTCTTTACCTCCACCGATGAGGTTATGTTTTCCTCCCTGTCTGTTTTTGTGTTGGTTTGTTGGTCTTTAGGCAGGGTTGTGCCAAAACTACTGGAAGGATGTGGTTTGGGTCAGGGAGGACATTTGGGTGTGGACTCTGCATGAAGAAGACTTGGGCCTTGGTGGAGGTTTGTGCTCTTCTGATACAGTCGCATTTACTGCAAGTAAAAATTGCTGTAAACATTCTGCTGCATGAATGTGTAAATAAACCATGCCGGTATAATCAGAATGCATTTAAGAAATTGTGATATTGCCCAATGTATGTCCTGAATTTATCATTTCCTGATTCACTGTCTAGAAATAATAATATTTTTCTACAGCACAGTAGATAAACTAACATTTAAGTCAAAGAAGCTGAGAGTTTAAGAGCTTGAAAGCCTCAGTATGAGAACATTTACGATATTTTTTTGTTTTCAGTAGAATTACAGGCTCTTTTGTGCCTAAACATTCTAACGCTGCTTTGATAAAACATTTTACATCATGTTGCAGCTTCTGACTTTGCATGGCTGAAATATAAAAGTAACATTTCTAAAGATCATTAAATAGAAGATGCCTCCTGTATTCTGAAAATAAAAGAAAAAAATCCAACCAACTGATCTGCAATACTACATAATGGCCAGCAGAGAGCAAAGTTGGATAAACACCACCACACTATGAAGGGAACAATATCTAAAGTCACCTCCCTCATAGACCTGCTGAGGATGCTGAGGTTAGAATTCATTGTTTGAGATGCAGCTTCATGATTCCTCAAAAAGCCAACTTGATTAAATCTGAACACAAGTACAACCATTTCCTTATATATATGGGGAAATAACCATGACGCACCCACACCAAATACACCAGAGAACTAGATGTACAGGGTGAATTTTCACAACTATTTATACAGTTGATTAATGTGTTGATTTTCATGGATGTGACATAAAAACGGTTGAGCAACATGATTAAGGATTGATCTGATCTGGACCGGGAGACAGCATGCTGTCGTCTTTGGGGCCGTTTTTTCACATTCACAACTTCCAGCAGTTTCATTTCAAGCCATTGTTGTGCTGCTGTTTCAGTTGCGTTCTGATAACAGAACCGAAACCTTATGAGTAAATCCTGTTGGGAAGAAGGGTGACTCATTCTCCTTAATGGCTCACTTCTGCTTCTCAACAGCTAAACGTACTGCTAAGTGGATCTGGTGTGGTGCAGTTCCTCTTCTGTCGGCCTCCATCCTCCCTGAGGCCCTGCACCAGGTCTGGATTGGGGTCCTGCAGTGCCCGCCTCCTCCTGGACCTCTGCTCCAACCTCCTCACCCGACCCTGAGATCGGCTGATGAAGTCTGGCCTGAATAGCTGCAGAGCCTCCTGGGGTGTGGGGCAGAGGGATAAATACAGTAAGCTCCTTGTCAGTGAGAAGAATACACTACAACTCACAGACACTAATCCTGAAGAAAGAGAAAAAAAATCTTCACCGGGTTAGAAACTGTTCTGAAAATATCCTTAATCTATTCTTTAACCTTGTAGAATCCTCCTCGCAGCCTTGTAATAGCTCGGAGGTGTAGGCAACATGGTAATATTATGCTCATCCTTTGTGGGGATAAAGGTAAGAGAGCTTTACTCACAGGGGGAACCTGAATCCTTTAGAAATAAAATAAAAAAAACCGCACTGGATCTTTGCTCCTCACAACTTGTTAAATTAACAAAATAGAGAGGGAGACTGGAATCAATCAAAAAAGGAATGGAGGAAAAAAGGGAATTATTTCATTAAAAAAAAATTCCCCTCAACTTGGCGGAGGCTGTGTCAAACACCAAAAGTAAAATCCCTCCCAGAAAAATCAGCCACTGCTGCTGTGATAATGTTTATTCCAACAGTAAACACATTTAAATCGTGTGGGAAACCTTAATTAACATATTCTAACATATCCTCACTGAGGTTTAAAAGGTTCACTATGGCAAATACACAACTATTCCACATAAGATCGTAGACATTGCCTACTTGTACTTTGTATAATATATTTAAAACACATTTCTTGTGCTTTGCAGAACCATTACTTGTTGTATTAATGCAGGAAAAATACACAACATTCTTTCAAATATTAGTTCAGTTTAGAAAATCCACCAGCCTTTAGCAGCGAACGGAGTCTTGTTAATGGTTGAATTAATATAGTGTCACCTGAGCGTTGATCCTAGAGACGCTTGTGACCCAATTTTCATGTATGCCAACCAACCATCTCAGCCATCTCCATGACAACCTAAGGCCTTGAGATGAGAATAAAAGCTACGTAAATGTCAAGGAGGTGAACCAAAAAAAACAACCCTTAAAGCTCAAAGTCAGGTTTGTTTTGAAGCACGGTGCGGTTTGTGTTCCCTTTATTTCTTGAAAGACAAGCAATTATTTAGAAAATTGTGCAGAAATGTGGCTCCTACTTTGAGACTGAGAGTCTGCGGTGACGAGTCCTCCACAGAGTCAGGCCTTAGTCGGGAACGATAAAAACAGGTCTTGTCCAGAGCAGAGACCTTTTGGGGTTGTGTGGGGCAGCTGTGTTCGTCAGTGATGTCCGTCACTGTCTGTTTGCTCCATGATTCCACTGCAGAGACACAGAGAAGTGACATGACTGTCAGTTCCCTCCCCAAAAAATTGGATTGGAATGTATTATTCAACAAATTCAAGTCGATGTGTGTTTTTCTCACTGTTTGTGATGGTATAAAAGGTGTAACTCTTAAAGTAACTCTCTGGCTGAATTATAATTTTCAAGTTGATGTTGAGAAACAGGAAAATGGAGCTGACCCTAACAGACACCTCTCGTATACACGTACCCGGCAGCTCATAACGAGAAAAAAAACCTAGAGGGAACATGAGTGTGACCTATGAATAATATATAAGATGACAGTGCATCCATCCTGCACCTATGACTGCATCCCTCTCCCTTTGGAATATGGAGATAAGGTGAATCCTCCATTTCAGTCCTCTGCCATGACCATGTACAGTAGTGGGCACGTATTGATAGAGCATCATCACATGCAGAAATTAAAGCTGGTCAAGCTATTTGTCTGTTGCCCTTTAGGTATCAGAATAAATGAACCGAGCTTTCAACAGATCAACACAGAAACAAGCTTTTGGATCTGCAGGGAATACATGTGTGGAGTAGAGAGAGTTGTTTAATAATTAAAAGTGTTGTTGTGACAGCTCGTGTAACAAGCAGGTAAGACTCTTGCTTCAGGCAGTGACATTTTCTATCACAGGTCTGAGTTCTTTTGGTAGAGACATCCACTGACAGCACTGCATGTAAAGGGCTGTATGTGCTGCACATTCCATATGAAGTGTTCAGTGCAGTATCAATATACTCGTTCACCTTGGCCACCACACTGTAAAGTTCTTCGACTGGTATTAATAAAATATCTTCTCTGTTGTTCAAAACTTCATTTCATCCTCAAAATATTTTGTCTCATAAAAACACAATATGGAAAAGATCATACATTTATAGATTACATTTATTAAATCTACTTTCTTATGTTAGCATGAACACTGAATAAGGGGAAACAGCTAGCTGAATCATACTAGATACGCACAGTGATGGTGAAATAACAATTTGTTATTTTGTGAACTTTTCCAGTGTTATAGGTGGATTTTGTAATCTTTGCACAAAGCCATGCTAGTTTTTTCCTGCTTCCTTATTTCTGTCTTTGGTGCTAAGCGAAGATGAACTCAGTGGTTTCATATTTTTGTTTATTTTAACGCACATTCATGCTAGATATTTCCCTTTTCCTACTTCTTACTTCAGTCTCAATGCTAGGCTAAGTCAGGCTAGCTAACTGTCTGCTGTAGCTTCATATCTAGATATGTGTTGTGTCTAACTCTTTCCCAAAATACGAACTATTCTTTGAAGATAGCACATCTTAACTAAGGAGCTTTGGGACATGTACATTATGTTGATTATCATAAATTATCATATGAAATTTCATGAAGAGTCTGTCACAGAAAAATTAAACAGGATTTCCCTCTGTGGTATGAACCACATTGTATTTCTAAACACAGCTCTCATAAAACATTGATCTTATTCCAACTCATGCACCAGGAGATCCTCGGGAAGATTCTTCAAAAATCATGCAAATACAGTCTATCTTTAGATTTGCAGCTTCTCGTTAATACATGCAGTGGCAGCTTCTAACTTAAGATTCTTTTTAGAAGTGTAGGTAGTCAGTGGATAAATGAAAGCGTTGTTCTTTATTTAAAATTGTGTGTACATGTACCAGCTGGGATTTAATCTAAACATCGTGACTGTAGTGTTGTGGGTGGATGTGGGTTTATTAACAATGCATGAAGCACCAATCATAAGGTGAGTGGTAAAGTCTGTGCACTTTTCCCCTCTAAGATCACTTCTGGCACCACATTCAGCTTTGGTGCTATACGCCTCAAAGATGTGAGCTTATCCAGGATAACTTTAAAATAAATGAGGTAAAAAGATCAATTGGCAGTGGTACTTTAGACTTTTGCTTCTGGAACATAGTGATGAAATTCATACCTGGGCCGATGTTGAAAGTTTGCTGCATGCGCCTGAAATTGCTCCGGGAAGGTGAGACACCCTCATCTGCATTCTCCTTCTGCCGGCCAGCCTTTGTGTTCGAGGGGTTTGGCCCTCGGAATGACAATAATCCCAAAGCAGAGCTGTGGCGCTCTGTGTCTGAATCGTCCACCTTGTTATTACCATTAGTGTGCGCTGTTTGCTCAACCTTGCAGCCCTGCTGCTTTGATACGGGGCCACTGCAGTGACCCAAACCCATCTCTTGGCCATTGCGTTTGTTACTGCCTGTCATGGCAGCTCTGGGTCTCCTGTAAACCCCATTTGTTTTGGCTGGTTGGAGATATGTAGAGGATCTGCAGCAGGACAAGACACCGAGGCGAACAGACAAGGTGGTTCTGTACAAAGTGGGTTGACCTGCTCTTCTTCCCTGTAGTTCCACGAGGGAAATGGAAAGTGACTTGTCTAAAAACACAACAGAGCTGGTGGACCTCAGAGGCACTTCACGGTGGATATACGACCGGTAGGAAGGTTGTGTGGACAGGTTCATTAATGAGCCACCTAATACGTCCCGCTTGGAGTCACCCTCTGTGCAGCCCAGTCTGTGTTGTACAAGTTGTACTTTCCTCATCCCTGCATCTCTCACTACCAATCCATCAGCTGGTGAGGAGGCCTGTCTGAACTCATTCGTGGCCACACTGGTAGGTTTCTGTTTGCCGACGTCCAGTTGAGAGTCTGTGACTCTCATTGTGCTCCTGGGGATCAATGATGCTCCTCTCCTAAGAGTTGTGTGGGGGTTCGGTGAAGCTAAACCCTTCTCAGGCTGTGGAGTTGCTGGATACACAGGGTCCTCTGAGGTGAAAATGCCGTCTCTGGACTCTCTCCCACCACATCTGTAACACATGCAGTCGTGAACAGGTTGGAAAGTTTCCTGAGAGATCCAGTATCTGCAGTCAGGGAGGAGTCACACTGTGTTATGGTTAAAGAGTCACACTCTCCTCCTGTTGCCCCCGCCACACATTCCATGACAAGACATTCCTGTGCAGTGAAGCAGTGATAGGCTGACTTGAGGCCTATTAAAAGACAGTGGAAAAAGAAGAAAGAAAAAAAAATCACATCAGTGTGCGACAGACTCCTCCGCAAAGTGAAAGATTCTATAACTCAAATGGAACCAAGGGAGACTGCAAATAGAGATATATTAACCACGGTGAGGTGATTGGACGGACTTATCATCTGCTCCCTTGCCTGACTTGTTTCGTGATCTGTTGCTGTTGCCATGACAGTGTGTAACTTGTTGGGCAGCACTCAGGGACAAATTATCCGTGACATTTAAAATGAATGCTCCAGATTTATCACGTGAAAGGCAAACACACTAACAGTCTCCGTTCTATTCCTTTTTTTAAATGAAAGTTGAGTAGTAAACATTTCTTAACAGGCTCTTGTGTTGGCTCATGATCAATTCACCCAAATATAAAGAGAATTTGACATGATGAAATTAGGCTCAATGACTAATTGTGCCTCTAAATGTTAATTTATGCCTGAATAATGGACCTCTGCAGGCATTAATAATAAGACTGTTCAAATATCATTAAGATATAGAGGCAACAGTGTTTTGTTACATATTCAGACACATCTCCGACTGCTGGAACCCACTGACATCCACCAGCAATGTTTTACCTTTTTCAGCCTGCGCATGCAAAGGAGGCCTCTTGAATCACTATTATCAAACTTATCTTCTCACAAAACTGCAGCGACCTTGTGAGTGACATTTTTATCTAACACTTGAACATCACTTCCTTTTATCAGTCCATCATTAACTATTTGCTGAGAGCCATGTTTCTTCCCACCTATCAACATCCCAAAAGAAAACTCTCTTTCTGTGTCTTTCTCTGCTCCTCGGTTCAGCTGATGACGACTCTCCAGAGGCAGTTATCTTCTTTGCTTGCCTGGCACATTCCAGATAATTCCTTAGCGCTTAACAATAGCTTTAACGTTTATGCCCATTGTTTGATAAGGCGCAGGAAGGGGCTTATCGATTCATTATATTCTCCACTCAGTATAATTCAGTTCTTTAATCATGATACAGCGAGTGCACTGCTCTGAATTCAGCCAATACAAAGCCCCATGTTGCTATTACTGTCAATAAAACTGAGATTATAACAAATGCTGGCATAATTTCCTCTTTTACTGAACTTGCCAAGCATGCAGAGCCTTCTCTCTACGTTAACGCTGTGTCACAGTCAGACCTCGCAAATTCAAGTCGTGTCGTTGGCCTGTTAAGATGCTTGCATGAACGGCACAGTGCATATTATACAAGAAAAGCAATTATGTTTACCCCCTGTGTTCCACTTTGAGGTGGGTCACATGGGACAGCAGGCTTGAATAACACTGGAATAGAAATTTATACATTCAGTTTCACCCCACTTTTCCTTTGATTTATTTTTGTCCAGCCAGCAAAGTATAATTAGAGGAACAACACAGTTTTTATATGTTGCACAAGAGAGGGGGAGCCTGGATAGAGCTTTGTGTGAGAGAAACGGACATACTGTACAGCTTAAAATGGGAAAACAAACACTATACAGAACGTAAGAGACTTTTATAATATATACTACAGTATCTACAGTATATGACTGTATTATATACTGTAGAGTATACAGTATAAAGGGATAAATGAGCAAGAAGAGTATAGGTTTTTCTACCCATCAATTATCTATAACACTTATCATTCGAGGACAGTGGGGGGCTGAAGCCAATCCGAGCTGACATTAGGGAGGCTGACACCCTGAACAGGTTCCAGTGTAGTGCAGGAAATAAAGAGACACATACTCACATTCACATGTTTTTGGACTGTGGGAGGAAGGAGGAGTACACAGAGAAAATATGTGGAGAACATACAAAGTCACACAGCCAGGACCACAGCCAGGATTCGGACTGGGACCCTTTTCTCTGTGAGGGGGCATATCTAACAATCACAACACTGAGAAGTCTTATCTGTGTTATTGCATATAATAGAGATAAAGGTAATAAATGAGCTGATCAAATCTGGACTAAAAAGCTTGTCCTAAATACACTGGAGCCTCTGATCTGGCCTCAGTGCAAACCCCAGAACCATCTAGCGCGTTGGGGTGATGTGTCGCGGTGTTGCAGGATCTGAACTTATAATATCATGATCAATAAAACAACAGAAATAAAAGTAAGGCAATGATTGGTATAAGAACAGCATCAAAGATCATTGAGAGGCTGAACAAAATATCAATAACAATGCTTAATAGAGATTGAATAAAAATATAGCAGATTATAGGTAATCATTGAGAGAAAACAACTCCGTCAAGGTTGGACGGTGGCTCAGAGCGGGCCGTGCCAGGAGCATAGCCGAGGTTAATACCTGTTCCGTTGAGATATTTCAAAATAATGCTTCGGTTAAATCCTGAAGGCTTGTTTCAGTGCAGAGTTTATAGATCCTGGCCCACTTTTGTAAATATAAAAAAGTAAGGATTTGAGTTAAATAATGAAAGAGTGCACATTAAACAATAAGAGCTGTAAATAAGAACAGTTGAAGGATAAGTTATAGGACTAAAGTCCAGAATAAACTGATTAGCCTAGTGTTTCCTGTGCGAAACATGAAATAAAGTATCCCTGTGTCATAGACCTCCATCGATGTCTAACAATTAAGCTTAAAATCCTTAAATATTTGCCAATAAACACCATTCACACCTGTTGGATCAGTATTTGCTAAAATCTAGTCTTGCTGTTTTTAGAAGTTATTTTCTAATACGTGTGTATTTGTGGCTTTTGTTTGATAAAACATTTATGCCACCATAAAAAACAAATGGGTTTGGGGCTCAGAGAGCAATAGATAGACTGCTGAAATATTCAAAGACCTAAATATTGTTTACTGTGTTTCTGCCACTGGATTTGACATGAAATTATTAAGTATGTGCAGCCTTCTTCTTTAAGAGTATAAACATTATGCACCTCCGACCAACAGGTCTGTGAGATACAGAGGGAAAAAAATGCAAGATGAGTTTGTGAGAGAAACAGAAGCAGTGTGTGTGTGTGAGGGACAGATGGAATGACGGCACACAGACAGTGAACGGGTTACTTGGCTGATGCGACTGCATGCCTTTTGTTGCATAGCAGGGAAACCAGTGACTGAATAAAACCTTTGTGGGCCCGACTGTGCCAGGAACAGAGAGCGAGGCCATGGGACCTACATCTGGTTAGGAAGCAGACGAGATGAGCAGGGCTGCGGGTACATGAGAGATAAACCCATCAGCACAGCCAGGATTGAAATGAGGCTTAGTGAGGGAGCTCTCGGACAAAACGCTGTTATTCAGATGTGTCATGTATGCTGGTGTTAGCAGAGGTTATCATTGTCGTGGTCTGGTCTTATTGTCCTGGACCTTTGCTTTGTGCACACAGTGTCTTTCATTTCTCTGTAGCCAATTTTAGTGAGAACAAAAAGGCAACATTTCACTTTCAATTACTTTCTGAAGACATGCATTATAACACAATGAATTGTGTGTTATACTTTTCAGTTTGAGAGCAGGAATTACTGATTTCACACTTTTGATGCTTTCACTAATATACCCTTCGCTCATACTCAAATATCCCCTGCTTGTGCTTACAACCGTGTACTTTCAGATTTCCTGGACTCCAGCCGTCAGCTCTTCTCGCACTACTTCTGATATCTGATGTCTCCTTCATTCTTCTGCACTTGGAATTTTTTGTTCAAGAAGTCTGTCAAAATTCCCCATTCAATAGAATGCCAGCTGTAGTCATAAAATAGTCCCGCGTGTTAGCTTTCCTTCTTTGAAAGTCCTGTACGGATGGTTACTGTTACCGTGTTCATGAAGTGCCGCTGTCCCCGGCTTAATTATTAGATGATAGACTATGTGTCAACAGTACATCTAGTATTCTATTGGTTGGACAAGTCTGTCAGACTTGTTGCACAAAAGGCAAAAAATCCCAAAGCAGATGTTTCACGCGTGCACAGAAGCAAAGTGAGTGTGTTAACGAGAAGAACTGAGGCTGGAGTGCAGCAAATCTCAAATCAATCAAAATATGTAAATGCACAAGCAGAGCAAATCCTATAGATAAGAAAATAAAAGCGTAATCATGACGATGCACATACCTGCTCCTTTTTATGTTGCTGTATCAGCTACATCTTTCTGTATTAGAGCAATTTGTCAAACCGAGTCAAGTAATGATCCTGACTGTGGGTCTTAGGTATGTGGTCACATGGGACATAATCTGTTTAGATTCCCAGTAGGAAAATATAGTATTAGCTTCAAGACTTAGTCTGAAACAACAAAACTAATCTATTCATTTTCATAACTATGTATCTACTAGTGCCACATCCACAGGCACTATGAAAATAATTCCTATAATAGCTGGTACTTTACCTTTATTTTATTTATTTCTTTTCATTGAGGATTGAAACGTTTGACAAACAATTTCTGCTAAAACAGAATTACTGAAGAAAATTAGAAGCATAATTATGAAATCTGACTTCTATTGCACATATTGTGAAGGTTTCTCACCTCATACAACAGTGTCCAGCAAGTTTTACAGATCTGTGCAATAATCTCGTATCCAAGAGTGATTGGGGTCTTTTCCTCATGCTGCATGGGAGACGGCTCTCAGCTGACAGGGGTCAAGGAGCGAGCTGCATCATCTAAGCCCTAGTGTTTATACAAATGACCCAGTGTGCTTATGTTCGATGCCTGAGAGCTAAGAGCTAAATATGCTCTGCAAATGAAGAGAGGGCAAGTCTGTGTCCTCTGTAAACTTTAACAGTAATCGCTCCTGTAAACATTCAAATGGATCTTGATACTTCTCAGTTTAATCATTTTCCACGCCCACGTCTGGTGTAGTTATGCTGGTTAAAAATAAGAGAAAAAAAAGGAATCACCCACCAGGGACGTCTGGAGCTTCCAGCGGAACACAAGACCTTGTCCATATTAGTTGAACCCCCCTGGCGAGACAGCTCGGTGAGGCCATCTGCCCTTGTTCTCTCCTCCTCTGTCCCCGGGGCCCGGGCTCAGGTAGCAGAACAGGTGAGTGGCTCTCAGGTTTCTGGACTTACATAATAGGTCCCCAGTGCACAAGTTATTAATGGAGTCAGAGGCTCACAGCAGCTCTGACTGTTGCCTCACTGATGCAGCAAAGAAAAGAAAAAAATTCAATGTCTTCAGATGAAAAAACATATGGTTGGTCTGCACCCACTTTTACTCTTTCAGTTCTCAAACCATCTTTTACAAAGACGCATTCGAGAAAGATGCATGCATCTGCGACCTGTTTGTGGATGCAGAGAGTAAACGCAACACTATAAATAAATGTCGAGAAACGGCGAAACTGCTGAATGTTCAACTTATGCTATTGTTTTCTTCCCTCTGTGGAGCCCAGGTAAAGTAAGGTGTACTAAAAAAATCATAGTAAAGTACAGTGAGGTTTCACTTTCTCTATGATAAATAACGCTGTCACTCAACTAAAACAGTAGAAACACTGCGGCTAATACTTCACTCTTGTCACGACTCATGATCAAGTGGCTATGCTGATGTGAATACTGAAGGAAGCAACATGAGAGCCGTAACTCCGGCTATTAATCTGAGTGATGCTGCGCTATTAAATAGTTGTAAATATGGGAATACAAAGTGAAATCCTTTTGTCATGCAGAGGATTTATTCACATCACATTATGTTAAATTATCCCTTCAATCATTCTCAATCTTCAGATATTCTGTTGACTAATGAAACATAACGTGCTTTTAATAAAATATATTAAAGTAAAAATTGTAGAAATTTACTCCCAATGTTATATATTGATTGAAAATATAGAATTATCAAAAGGTTTTTCATGAAAAAAAGCCCCTAATTCACCATCTCCCCACCCTCACAGCGCCCCCTGCAGTTGTCGATCCTTTTCCAGTGGCTAAGCCCCGCCCACAAGTTGACAGGAATGGTTTCTTGTGACATCACAAACCCTGACTGTTTGAATCTGATTTTTTCTGACAGGCCTTTGTTTGCTGCAGAGTTGAGATGGAAATATTCAGCCATCTGGGGCAGATGGATTGTTTTTGCCATGAGTCTTTAGTTGGAGCAGACCTTCTCTAGTGGAGCAGCCGAGTCGCCTCTGTAATGTGGTGCGGCAATGGGCCTGGGCTTGAACCGGGGCAGGTGATAAGGCGAATAGCCAATCAGGAAATGGGGAAACAAGGATAACAGTGGAGAACTGGTTTGCACACCTGCAGCACATCGGGGAGACTCAGGATTAGACGCATGCAAAAATATCATGAGGGATAACAGACTAGACGGTGGCCCTGACATTTGTTCCGCACAGGAAACCGAACAATGTGGAGGAGGCTGGAGGTGATGAGCCAGAATTTAAATAATGCTGCAGATATTAATTTTCCTTAAGACTTACCCTAACCCTAATAAAACTTGTCGAAAAGCTATTTACCAGTGTTTCAAATAGACAGGCTCCCACTCATCTGGTTAATTATCTTGGATTAATTAATTAATTAAGGCGGCACTTTTAATAAAATCTTGTGTAAAATTGTTGTTAAACACAAGAAAGCAAAAGGGCCGTCAAAGTCTCTTATCTCATCGATTGACACTTGTGTTGATTCTCTGATGAAATCTGAGGTGGAGGAGGCAGCTGGATTTTTGATAAAGTTGATTTCACAATAGCTCGGCTGATTTTGCAATTATGCAGGAATAAATACACAAGCAGCAGAGTGGCATCAAGTAGTAAGACTGTGTCATGTGGATTAAGGAGATGTCAGAAAGCACCTGCTCCACTGGCAGGGAAGAGGACACTCAATGCTTGGCATCATTAAAAGTTTGCCAATTTGTTGCGCCAAATTTCTCTCAGTTCCAAGTGCACTCAGTTTAAATGTAGGGAAGAGGTGATTTCATATAACCTCACACTTCACTTGTTTCCACTGAACTGTCAGAGCACATATTTCCCCCAAGGTCCAGTTCCCTTATGAAACAACACTTCAATTCACTAGATGGTGATATTTTATTTGGATTTGCACCAAATTGCATTAACTTGAATATTAGCTTCCTAAACTTGACAGATTTTTGTCATTAAGAGCCATTAATTATTCTCTGAGAATTAAATGAAAATGTTGAAGGCTCACAGAAACCATTCCCTGATCCCGATAGGCACCTAAGTTCAACGGGTTCCTCCTTGATCCATACTGCAGCTTTCTACCAGGTTTCATGGTAATCCATCCAGTAGTTTGTGCATAATTCGGCAAACTAACAGAACAATAAGTTGACAAGTACAACACAACAATTAAACCGGCAGTTAAAGACAGTAAATAACATCAACACTTAGCTGCAACGTCTTCAAGAGTCTTTGTAACAGCAACACATTAGACTTTGGTTAAAGTCTATCACACACATCTCTGCTTGTCTCCTGACAAACATTCAACTAACATCCCACTGTGCACCTCGCACTAGAGGCTGCTGCTATTCCCCCCAGAGTCACTTCAGTCTCATCACAGAGCTAAAGACAACAATATGGCAGAAAATAGAGGAAATGGTTCACTCTATGACACCATCAATATAACACCTAATATCATAAGTGCTTATTGTCCGTAGATCAGATAATCGAACTTTGAGGTGATGTTTCCCTGAGGCTGTTTCTCTTCATAAATGGTTTTTGTTCTAGTAAAGATGATCTTTCAGAGAACTCCACAATAAAAACAGTTTATGTATCGAGTTGTTTTTCGCAATCAACTCGGACAGGAGCAGCACGGTCATCCCTACTCCGGCAGGCACCTCGTATTTTCTGTTTTCTGCCATTAATGAAAAAAAATTAAGGTGGAAGTGGCATCTACTTAGTTCCGTGAAGCATTTTGATGGTTAACAAAAAAGCACCACAAAATATTAACAAGCTTTTGGCAGGAAGTTAATGATATGGCAGCCTCTTGTACCGAATTTAAGTTCTTGTAAAATTGTCGTTTGTGCAGAGTAACATAATCAGCCATTCCCAGGGGCCCTAGGAAATGATGTCCTTTGCCTACTTTTCAGGCAGGTGCTTGATTTCTTACACCACCTCCATTCTCTGCAGGGTCTCATATCCAGTGTTTACTTTGAATGACAGCTTCATTAACAACTCAAGAAGAGAAAATGAGGAATTATGAGTCTGAGCAAACAGACGTCAGGAGGAATATTCACTGTGCTGCACCCACTCTGTGGATCTTTGACAAACATCTCACCCTCTCTGGTCACAGTGGAAAGTGGCAAACAGAATGAAACTGCGACAAATGGGGCCAAAAAACATGAAGTCGAAACTGTGAACTCATCACAGACAGAGTCAGGACGTGGACAATCGTGCCTCATAGAGTTTGGTCAAATCTGTTTTTCTATGAAAATTGCTGTAAAAATGTAACAGTAGGAAAGAGCCACAGTCACACACTTCAGTTGGGTCATCATAATAAAGTACTAAAGATGAATAAATGGTGTGAAAAAGGTCGAGTCCTGCAGATGTGAACCTCTGACGGCTTTTAACCATATTAGCACATTTTTTATTGACGATTAGAAAAGGTCTTTTTCTAATCTTCAATTGCCCTTATCAGTCACAAGACCAGAAGAGGATCTGTTACAGACACACTATCAAACATATTGTACCACAGTGGTGAGGAAACGGATTGATGGGATTACTCAATTTATTTTTAATGTGAGCAATGACACATGAATCAGGAAACTTGGGTCTTACCTCAAAAGACAGGTGCGTGGGAAATTACTTGGACGCCTGTGCACCATATAAGAGCCTCCTGCTATGTTTTTACCCATTTTAAACCTTGACATTTCAGTGGCAGTAAATTTCAAAGTATAAGATGATGTTTCTGCTGAGGTGTGAATCATGTTAGTGCCATTTTCAAGGAACAGGAGACGAACGTTGTGTCTCTGATGAGTTAATCTTAGAATCAAATGGAGTAATACTTTGTAACTGTAGCTTCTTTTCTGCTCAGGAGTATGACCACCGAAGTTTAATACTTTCTTTTTGTTAGTCAGTGAATTCTGGAGGAAAAAAATAGCCACAGGTCAACTGATCTGTTTTGGTTCCTGATCACTATGAAAGGGGACTTTTAATATTTTCAGTTCTTTTTAATGAATTATTGAAAATTAGCTCAAGGTGCAAACTAAAAGCAGGAAAACCCCTCAAATTAATATCGATTTCTTCAACAACCACCTTCTTACATTATGTAATATTCAGATTTTGTTTTCTTGTGTTTTTAATAATGAGAGACAGCACATTGTGTTTGTGGTCATATTGCAGGGATCCGGTACCACTTGCACAACTTGAGAAGCCATCTGTGTATGGATTGATTGTTTTAGCCCAGGAGATAATGAGAGTCAATTGGGAACCTTATGGAGAAACAGTTGCTCTACTGAGATCAACATTCAGTTTGGCTCTCTGCCTCCCTCTGGCAAAATATCGATTAAAGCAACTGAGCAGTTTGTACCCCCACAAATCCCAGTTCCCTCCTCTGCTGCCATCTTTCAACACCCAGGTTTCTCTGTGGGTTTGTGCCTATTTGTGAGCATATGAGTGTAAAGATTGTCGACACACATTTACATGAAAGATCATTTTCCTTTACAGTTTGCTTTGTGATGCACCAGTGCAGCAACGGTACGGCCGTTGCAGAGGCCTATTGACTGCTCACTGAACTGCTTTGTTGCAGTGATTTGGCTGAATACATTTCAACAGGATGAAACACTCATTTCAAACCATGAGTTCATTCATAATCTCAGTGCATACAATGTGACAATGTTGAGATCACTATAATAAGTCTGCAAACTCAAGTGGGATGAAAGAGGGGACAGTTGAAATGGTCTCTGGACTGTGTCTGTGATGCATTTTTTAATGAGAAGTTTAGCTTTTTCTCTGTGTTGTATGTTTGTAAAACTGAATATTTTCATTTAAAGCTGAAATGAGATGACATGTTGAACTGATTAAAGTCAGTTAGCGCGTGTGAAATTCATCTAGAAACGCCACACGAGGAACCACAAATAACAATCTCTGATTTGACTTACAGGTATGGTCACAGGTCGACAGTCAGATCAGCCAAAGGGTTCCAAGAGCTGGTCAATGACTCACAGGAGAATAATCAAGAAATCCTCGAACGTTGATAGAGAAACTGACAAGATGAATTGGCCTCGAGGAAACGGAAACACACACACCGGACTCACAAAGAAACCAGACACAGGTAAAATTAATTAGGTCGAGCAGGTGGTCAATAGGGAGGGAAACCAGACAAAGACAGGAAGTGAAGTAAGGGAAGTTTCAAAGAAAAGCTTCTTCTTTTGGCAGTCGGACATCCAGCTTACAAATGCATTCCCGCCACCTATTGGACTGGAGTTTGGATCAAAGGTTGATCCAAGACGGAGTAAAGTGAAGCTTTATTTTCAAGTGCTTCAGTTAGTTTCTACCTCTGCTCCATGTAGAACCAAAATAAAATTCTAAAGTCCGAACACAAGTGAATGTCAATGTCAAAATATCCATTCAAATAAGAGTTCATACAACAGGACGTCTTTCAGCAGCTCCATCACAGTCTTTTCAAAAGTAAGAATCAGAACTTTTATTCCGAAACTATATTCCTGCTGCAGTGAATCTGCGGCAGCTGAGGTTTGGAAGATCAATACTTGGACAAGTGCTATTAGGAAGATATGCTAAGCAGGTTGTGCGCATTGTTAGTCGTTTTCCAACTTTAATATGAAACTCAACTTAGGGGAACAATGGTGTAAATGTTCTTAATTAGCTTTGTTGCACAGCTTTGATAAAACAGCATCATAGCAGAGCAGAGTTTATTTTCTCATGTCACTGTCCTGACATTTACAGGTTGCAACAAACATGGAAAACAATAAACACAATAACAAAACTGAACTTTTTTAATT